AGGAATTGACATCCCAAGCTTCAGAGAGCTTCCAACCTGGAAATAGCAACCCCTGTTGAAAAAAAAGAAGAGGACCATTTTACACAGGACCACAAAAAATCAAAATATGAAAACATAGACTATGCATAACAAATAGAAATTGAAAGGCAATTGAATGAATATTTAATGAATAATGAATCTGCAAGGCTGGATGGGGAAAATCAAGATAAATTGGCTAATGAGTTAGATCAAAGGCCTACAATCTGGAAGGTATATGCCAGAAGAGACAAAAAAGGGCAAAATTGGTTAGTCCAGACCGTTTTGTCAAGCAGAGTAGGATTATATAGAAGTCCATTGCTTGACCTTCTTAACTTAAGACTTTTTTAAATTGTTTGGGCTTGCTAAATAGGCTAGGAATGGGCTAGGCCATGGGCCCTCAACAGGTGGCCTAGCCTATTTCCACCCCTATATCGGAGAAATGGTTAGTGGAGGAGGAAAGAAGAGATCATTTTTTTCTTGGTATCAGTTTTTTGGCTGCAAAGCTTGGGCAGGGAACTTCGTGCCTTTCTGTAATCCCTTTCTTGTTTCTTTGTTGATATTCAGTAATACTACTTTATTTCCATCCATGTGGATTTTGGTTTCTATTAGAATCTTATGTTCAAAACAGTTTTCTTTCTGCTTTTAATTGAGAGAAACAAATGGAAGTTAATTTCAACAAGTCTGACCCTTGCTAATACTTTCAGAATAAATAGTAGACACCATCTCTTACTTTACCTCTCCTAGATCAATTCATTTCACCAAAGCCAAGTTCAGATAATAAGCACGCTTCTGCAAGTACAACCTTTGTTACTGTTAAGTTATATTCAGTTTATAGAAAACTATGCTTAGAAACAGTAACTAGATGCAATTCCCATCCAACAGGAAAGCTGGCAGAGAGCTTATCCTGACAGTTAAGAACATTCAAATGAGGATGTTCTGCCTTTGCATAAGGAAGCAATTTCTCAGGAAAGATATTCACAATGTTGCCTAATGGTGCATGATTTGAACTACAACATAGTTTTCTGTTCACAAATGAAAGTAATCTTAAATGTAATTTTAAATTTTAATATGTAACATTACATAAAAAGAGGACACAGGAGCAACTACAATGAATAACATTAACTACAAACATTTCAAACAGATGACACTTGGAAGATTTGTTAAGTTAATTAAATTAGATCAAAATGGTGCCAGAGTTATTTCTTAAGTTAGAAACAAAAAGAAAAACAATACATCGCTATATGCCACACTAACAAGCAAAACTATAAGTGGGTAAAATTAAGAACAAAATTCAAGTACCAATCATCATGTAAATTCTCAAGCATTGACAAGGCAAGAATCATAGTAACAATCTCCACATATATATATATATATAATTTAATATGATAAGGCAGCAATTGTCGGCTATTAGGTTAACTGTTACAAATTTTATTGGGGGAAAAGTTTTTGTCAAGTTCCTTATATTCTTATCAAATCAAATGATGACATATGGATATATATTCTTTTTGTATTTTTGTAATATATATTTAATACAGGCTATTTAATGTTGGAAAGAACATCCACATGTTACATTTGATTTGAGAACCTGATGACAAGGACATAAAAGAACATGATCTAAATTTTGTCTTAAAACAAAACCTACTGGTAAACAGATTAGTAAAAAGAATAGTGAAGGTTAAAGATCATGGCAATGAACAGCATTAGAATCAACTGTAGTGGATATGCTCACACATAATGAGAAGTCACAAAACATACAAAATGTGAGAAAGAAGGGAAGCTTACATGTCAAAAAGCTTAGATGGCACCCACCAATGGCCAGTATTGAAAATCAGAATATCTGAATTAACCCACTGGTCACTTATATCATCCAACTTGTCCAATAAAAGTGTGGATTTGACCCTTCTCGGTGCATGTCTAGGCATCCGACCCTGCTGAGATCGGAAG